AGACTGATTTTCTTTGGTCATTTTAGTCAAAGTTAACAAATGGTATATTGTTTCAAACCAATTAAACTTTTTTTTGTAGCAGCTGGAGTGTTTACCAAGAACTAKCTGTAGTGTTATAGAGCAGTGATTTGGTAAGGAATGCTGTTGCCTGCAGTAGTGTTCTGTTCTGTTTGTTAATTTGATGTCTACTTTGCCCTTGTTCCCTAGTGGAACTTTTAACACTGTTTTATACTCCAGTGTAYGAATCTTAAAGATCTCTTGGGCCTTTTTTGCATGAAGAACTTTATCAAATTTTATCTACCTTCAGTGGAAAAAGTGATTTTTAAACCATAGAAGAATTGTTCTATCATGTGTGTGTAAATTCTATAGCCTCCTACACAGTAGTTGCKGTAAGACAGCAATAATACTTGAAGGTTTCACAGCTTTGATGCCACAGGAACCAAAAATTTGTTACCAAAATTATATAATTAAATTATCATTCTGATGTAAGGATCGCTAGCAATTTAGTAAGTTACTATCTCTTTAAAAAAATAAGTGGTAAAGCTGGAGTGCAGTGGTTAGCCTGTAGTAAGCAGATTTCTTTAATCAAAGCTTGAATGTATGAATGCTTTTCTTCAGCTGCCTGCTTATAATCCACTGAGGGTTAAGTGGCATATTTACATGTTCATGAAGTCACACTTYATGAAGTCATCACTGTGTCCTTTTGCCACTTGCTGTCCTGAGATATATTCCTTCAGTAGTTGCTGAGCTGTTACAAGGTTTCTTGCTTATTCTGAAAATATTTTTGTAATATTAAAACTGTAGGATGAAATTACATGTTGAACAAAATTTGGGACCTCTTATTTGTCCCATTTTTGGTAAAGAGAGTGGAAAGCTGATTAAGCCATTATAGCTTCAATTTATTTCATTTATAGAAACTCTTCTAAAGAATATTTTCTGGGAAAAAGGAATGCAGTGAGGAAAACGCATAGGAAAATGCACAGCCTAAAGCTCTGGYAGTATTTAAAATTGGTGCCTATGCTAATCTAATACGACTTCACCACAGATCCCAAGGGAGTTTGACGTGGGATTCCAAAGAAACTTATTAACATCCAAAGTGTGTTTTTTATAATAAAAGTTGGGGGTTTTCTTACTGAGGAAAAAAATCATGTGCTTTTTATATTTGAGGAGGGGAAGGAAAATGCACAATGGATCACTTACCATTCTGTTTAATGATTTTATTAGTCTGTATGCATTCACTGACATCTAAATCCAAGTTTTCCTATGTTCATAAACCTGAGCATTAAGCTAGTTTATTTTTGTGAAAATGCACAATTGGCTTCAAACATTTCATAATTTTTATTTAATAGTGCAATTATTTAAGTAATTAGGATATTTAAATTTCTTCCTCTGTTTAGTATTAGTTATAAATACTATATAATTAATGATGTTATTACTGATTTCTCTTTGAAATATTAAATGCACTCCAGTTGTGAAATAACTTGACTGCATTATTGAATACTGCTCCGGTAAAGCTAGCTTACTTCACAGAGAAATCTGGCCTAGTCTGCTTCTCTTACATACGTAAAAACCAGAGAATTAGACCCATCTACAGAAAGAAATAACTCAGGGTTTTGGGCATTGAGAATGTGAGTGGACTGAGCCACTGAAAACATTTGGAGAATACCAATAGGGCATAGGGCAGGCTGGAATGAGAATAGTTCATTTAACACTTACTGGTCAATCAGTCAGGACTTACCAAGCARTGATTAATTTCAACCAGCTACTAGAAAGGACTATGTTAAAATCCCTGAAGTCTTGCAGTTTTTCTTCCTGAACCTTTGGGAACACTTTGTAGTGCAACATGAGAGTACTTGATGTTCTGCTCTCTTGGAGAGCTCTTCCTTTGAGAGGAGCTCAGGTATGATATGATTACTAGGAAYTGGGTTTTGATTCTTGCATATTCTGGAACTTTGGATTTTGATGGTTTGGGCAGAATGGTGCCAATATGGCACTCCAAGCAAGTTAACAGCAATGAAATAGCATGGGATTCCTTTGAGCATTTGAATGTGCAGTTCTTGTGGGGTTTTTCATTTGTCTTGCCTCTGTGATACGCAAGAAGTTCAAAAGCATCCAACAGTGTTGTGATTAAATTACTTTTAATGATATTTTAAATAGAATCTGTATTATATTAGAATTAAGAGATTAACCTACTTGACTTTTGACCAGAAAATAATAGTGCAGTGAATTGGCTGTCTTGCTTTATCTAGATTGTGTCAACTGGCAAYGGTTTATTAAGTATCTTTGCAGCAAGTCAGTTCATTTTGTTTCTATACTTTGCATTTCATGCTTATTTAAAAATAGGAAAGATATACTTCACTATGCTATCTAATTTGTTGACAGTATGTCAAAACATTAGTAGAAAAAAGCCTGCAATTTGTGATTGTAAGCGATCTTTAAATAGTCAGATTTGCTAATGTAGTTAGACTGTCAGTTCCTCTAGGGTGTAGGTACTTATGATGTATCCATGGAAACAGGAAACTGAGGCTTACAGAGACTGAGGCCATAATTGCTGAAACTCCAGCTAACTTCTACTGCTTCTGTTATTTTGGGCACCAGAACTTGTCACCAAACAGTGCAAAACGTAGCAGAACAGTGTTGAAACTTGGGGCTAAAATTATATGTCAGTATTTTGCCTCTGGACTACTCTTGCTAAGTTAAATATTCCTCAACTATAACAGGATCTGCTAAATGGATKTAATTGCTTATAAAAGCATCATTAATTCCTAAACTTAAGAGAACTGACAGATCTGTGTTTTGATGAGCAGTGTAGTTCTGTGGTCCCTATCTGCTTGGGAATTCTTTTGGTCTGTAATATAAACCAACAGCACTGGTTTAATTTTTTCCTTTTGACATTGCTTGTTGTCTGATACAACCTTTTTACCCTGAAAGATCATTTTCAGAGAGGCTCTGGAGACATTTCCTAGACAATTCCTAATTCAAATAAAAGTTTTCATTTTGAGAATCAGAAGGAATGTTGGGGKTTTTTTCCCTTAAAAGCACGATTTTAGGTAGGCTGTCACGGATGTGTAAGTACATAGAGCTCTTGCTTTGAGTTGTGTGCTATGAAGTTATTCTTTGTTTTGAAACAGGAGAGCCTGAGAAGGAACTTAATCCAAAGAAGAAGATTTGGGAGCAAATCCAACCTGATCTTCATACCAATGACCAGTGTGTTGCTACATACAAAGGAGTTCCATTTGAAGTGAAAGGGAAAGGAGTCTGCAAGGCAGAAACCATGGCAAACAGCGGAATTAAATAAATAAATGATTATTAGAAACTTTTACAGATGTTGAAATGGAAAGTGATGCAAGCACAATAAAAAACACGAAATGCATGGCTAAGACCYGTTTTGTTTGACTTCTTTTCCACAATGTTATTTCTCTAACGCTTTGACAATTCACTCATTCACTATGCTTAATGTCCTTGAGGTTGTGTGTTGTCAGCAGTTATTAACCACACAGYACTCATAACTTAATTGCCAAGGCTTGTTTGTGGTTGGACTACAAGCAGGCAAGTACATTTTCTGGACAGCTTGAAGGTGTAGAGCTTCTATTTAACAAGAGCTAAAGAAAATAAGGAAAATACTCTGCCATGTTCCTTGTGGGCTAGTTGCAGGATTGCAGTTGGCTAGTGAAGACTGCAATTGTTTTTATTCTAGTCACTTTGTAATAATTTTTCTCCTTGAAAGCACTTTTCAGATGTAAGACTCTGCACCTTTGTTCTTTTCTGTGTCATCTCTGTAGTCTGCAGTCAGTTGTATCTGGAAGCTTAAACTGTGGTGCTTTATGCCCTAACATGTACAAGTGGACATAACTTTCATGTCCTCACAACTAAGCCATTATCATTTCATCAAGATCAAAGCTGTCACTTTGCTAGGATAGTTCTTTATGTAGTCCATCTAGGTATATCCTGCCAGATGATAGATAGAAATAATTAATAACAAATAGATTCTTGGAACTTACAAAATACAAACAAACAAAACAAAACAAAAACCAAACCCAAAGCCCAAAAAAAAACCAACGAAAAAAGGTCCCAAGAACCAAACAAAGCAAAAAAAGTGCTCAAACAGATATAAAATTATTTTTAGTTTTGTTTTAATGTGCTTTTATGAAGTGGTATTTTATGCAAAAAGTGCTTTGGTTTTAACAGAAATAGCTTTTTSAGAATTGTTTCTTAGTAGTATTGTACAAATAGTCAGGTTGCTAAGGTGTGAGCCTCAAATTAATTCTTTTAATTCTTTCAGTAATATGAAAATAAGTATTTTGGATCAATTTACAATAATTCTTTAAAGTAGCTATTTAGAGATGCTTCWAATATTTTGGCACATAATATTAAATTGTTACTGTCTAACCATGGAAGCAGTAAATGCTATTTTAACTACTGAAATAAAAAAAAACAAACTTAATCCTTTCTAAATTTTGCAAGCTTTGAACTTCATCCAGTAAATGAAGAAAAAATGAAATGACAATGATAAAAAATTAAAAGGAACATGCATAAAGAGTAGATGAACAGATTTCCTTTTTGAATGAGTTTTGTTTGTGCCTGTAAACTGTTAGTTTTTCATGCATCTGGGAATAAGCAAYAGTAATTAGTTCTTTTAAATGTGATGAATAGCATTAAGCACATRGAAGCTATTTCATCTGCCTTGTAAACTKTRTRTCTRATAATGTCTTAYTAAACAAAATCCTTATAGTTCAAGAACTCAGTTATAAGTAATCTTGAATCATAGTAGGGAAACTTTTACAACAGATAAATCTTAGCTTTTAGTACCAGAGAGYTCTTTTTAGAAATGGAAGTTCAGAGGAAACTGAATTCAGAGTAACTTCTGAAAGCTTGAAAAATTGAGCAAAGAGGCTCCCTTACAGTCTGAACTCAACTGCTTTTTTTTTTTTTTTT